TGCAGAGGATACCTACCCTTCTAGTGTTATCAGGTTATGGTAAATGCAGAGGATACTTACCCTTCTATTGTCACCAGGTTATGGTAAATGCAGAGGATATCTACCCTTCTAGTGTCACCAGGTTATGGTGAATGCAGAGGATATCTACCCTTCTAGTGTTATCAGGTTATGGTGAATGCAGAGGATACTTACCCTTCTATTGTCACCAGGTTATGGTAAATGCAGAGGATATCTACCCTTCTAGTGTCACCAGGTTATGGTGAATACAGAGGATACCTACCCTTCTAGTGTTATCAGGTTATGGTGAATGCAGAGGATACCTACCTTTCTAGTGTTACCAGGTTATGGTGAATGCAGAGGATATCTACCCTTCTAGTGTTATCAGGTTATGGTGAATGCAGAGGATACTTACCCTTCTATTGTCACCAGGTTATGGTAAATGCAGAGGATATCTACCCTTCTAGTGTCACCAGGTTATGGTGAATACAGAGGATACCTACCCTTCTAGTGTTATCAGGTTATGGTGAATGCAGAGGATACTTACCCTTCTATTGTCACCAGGTTAAGGTAAATGCAGAGGATATCTACCCTTCTAGTGTTATCAGGTTATGGTGAATGCAGACGATACCTACCCTTCTAGTGTTATCAGGTTATGGTAAATGCAGAGTATACCTACCCTTCTAGTGTCACCAGGTTATGGTGAATACAGAGGATACCTACCCTTCTAGTGTTATCAGGTTATGGTGAATGCAGAGGATACCTACCCTTCTAGTGTCATCATGGAGCATTTCTTCACACTCCTCCTTTGATGGCGGTTTCCAGAGTTTGTGTGGTTTTCTACCACTCTGTAAATAAAGATGATAGTAAGAACACATGTTTCAACTCTCATAAACATAGTGAAACTATGGTAACCTTTCTCTGAATAAATAGATATATCCTCTTATCAACTAGGTACACACAAACCAAGATATATGTACAGAGGTAGTGCTAAGAATTCATGGAAATGTCACATGCAAGTTGGCAGTGATTCATGATTCCAAGATGAGTTGGCAGTGATTTATGATTCCAAGATGAGTTGGCAGTGATTTATGATTCCAAGATGAGTTGGCAGTGATTTATGATTCTAAGATGAGTTGGCAGTGATTTCTTATTCTAAGATGAGTTGGCAGTGATTTATGATTCTAAGATGAGTTGGCAGTGATTCATGATTCTAAGATGAGTTGGCAGTGATTTATGATTCCAAGATGAGTTGGCAGTGATTTATGATTCTAAGATGAGTTGGCAGTGATTTATGATTCTAAGATGAGTTGGCAGTGATTTCTTATTCCAAGATGAGTTGGCAGTGATTTATGATTCTAAGATGAGTTGGCAGTGATTCATGATTCTAAGATGAGTTGGCAGTGATTTATGATTCTAAGATTAGTTGGCAGTGATTCATGATTCTAAGATGAGTTGGCAGTGATTTATGATTCTAAGATTAGTTAGCAGTGATTTATGATTGTAAGATAAGTTGGCAGTGATTTATGATTGTAAGATGAGTTGGCAGTGATTTATGATTGTAAGATGAGTTGGCAGTGACTTATTATTCCAAGATTAGTTGGCAGTGATTTATGATTGTAAGATGAGTTGGCAGTGATTTATGATTGTAAGATGAGTTGGCAGTGATTTATGATTGTAAGATGAGTTGGCAGTGACTTATTATTCTAAGATGAGTTGGCAGTGACTTATTATTCCAAGATTAGTTGGCAGTGATTTATGATTCCAAGATTAGTTGACAGTGATTCATGATTGTAAGATGAGTTGGCAGTGACTTATTATTCCAAGATTAGTTGGCAGTGATTTATGATTGTAAGATGAGTTGGCAGTGATTTATGATTGTAAGATGAGTTGGCAGTGATTTATGATTCTAAGATGAGTTGGCAGTGACTTATTATTCCAAGATTAGTTGGCAGTGATTTATGATTGTAAGATGAGTTGGCAGTGATTTATGATTGTAAGATGAGTTGGCAGTGATTTATGATTCTAAGATGAGTTGGCAGTGACTTATTATTCCAAGATTAGTTGGCAGTGATTTATGATTGTAAGATGAGTTGGCAGTGACTTATTATTCTAAGATGAGTTGGCAGTGACTTATTATTCCAAGATTAGTTGGCAGTGATTTATGATTCCAAGATTAGTTGACAGTGATTCATGATTGTAAGATGAGTTGGCAGTGACTTATTATTCCAAGATTAGATGGCAGTGATTTATTATTGTAAGATGAGTTGGCAGTGACTTATTATTCTAAGATGAGTTGGCAGTGACTTATTATTCTAAGATGAGTTGGCAGTGACTTATTATTCCAAGATTAGTTGGCAGTGATTTATGATTCCAAGATTAGTTGACAGTGATTCATGATTGTAAGATGAGTTGGCAGTGACTTATTATTCCAAGATTAGTTGGCAGTGATTTATGATTGTAAGATGAGTTGGCAGTGACTTATTATTCTAAGATGAGTTGGCAGTGACTTATTATTCTAAGATGAGTTGGCAGTGACTTATTATTCCAAGATTAGTTGGCAGTGATTTATGATTCCAAGATTAGTTGACAGTGATTCATGATTTTAAGATGAGTTGGCAGTGACTTATTATTCCAAGATTAGTTGGCAGTGATTTATGATTGTAAGATGAGTTGGCAGTGACTTATTATTCTAAGATGAGTTGGCAGTGACTTATTATTCCAAGATTAGTTGGCAGTGATTTATGATTCCAAGATTAGTTGACAGTGATTCATGATTGTAAGATGAGTTGGCAGTGACTTATTATTCCAAGATTAGTTGGCAGTGATTTATGATTGTACGATGAGTTGGCAGTGATTTATGATTCTAAGATGAGTTGGCAGTGATTTCTTATTCCAAGATTAGTTGGCAGTGATTTCTTATTCCAAGATTAGTTGGCAGTGATTTCTTATTTCAAGATGAGTTGGCAGTGATTTCTTATTCCAAGATGAGTTGGCAGTGATTTCTTATTTCAAGATGAGTTGGCAGTGATTTCTTATTCCAAGATGAGTTGGCAGTGATTTCTTATTCCAAGATGAGTTGGCAGTGATTTCTTATTCCAAGATGAGTTGGCAGTGATTTCTTATTCCAAGATTAGTTGGCAGTGATTTCTTATTTCAAGATGAGTTGACAGTGATTTCTTATTCCAAGATGAGTTGGCAGTGATTTCTTATTCCAAGATGAGTTGGCAGTGATTTCTTATTCCAAGATGAGTTGGCAGTGATTTACTATTCCAAGATGAGTTGGCAGTGACTTATTATTATAAGTACTTCAACAGTAATGGTGACTGTTAGTCATTCAACAGAATCAGCTGAGACACAACAGACATTGAAATCATATACAATCATTTGAGGGTCGGAATCAATTAAAGATCCAATTCAGTTGCCCAAGCACTTGTTTATTAGATTTTTGGCTATGCCAATGAGTGCATGTAGAACATCTCATAGTTTATTTACAGTCTGGCTTGCTTTCATCATGGAATGAATTCCATGGTTACATAGACATTCTGTAAATATAAATGCAGCCTATTGATAATGCAGTGCAATGCACAGTTGTATGGTTTTCCAATTACTGGCAATGTCACCGATTTGGTGTTCCATCCATTATTGCCCAAATAAGTCACTATTTCATTTGAGACTTACCGGTTTTTCTGGCTTTTCTGGTTTTGATTCCCGCTTTGCAATAATTTCCTGCATCTTTGCAGTAGGTTTGTAATACTTGCTGCCATGGCTACTAGCTTTTTCCTCTACAAAAACAAAGGTGTTGACAAATTTCAACTACAAAGTACTAGCCAGATAAAACTATGTACTGGATTCTGCCGTAAATTTGACCTGGGCCGTTAACTGCAGTCCGGGTTTTTGAAAAAATAAAATGGGACCAAGAATTCGTCCAAGGCAATTTTTCAGCAGTTGGTTAAGGTGTTATTTTACACTTTTCTGATGCCTAAAAGTTTCACCGTAGTCATTGATGCCTATTCAAGAGTATTGATGTTTATTGTGACTAGCGTGAATGGGTAAGCTTCGTTTCGACAATGAGCTGTTATCACTGTAAACAATGTTAAATTATTCTTCAAATGCTCAGTTTATCTTTTGAAAACAACTATTAATTTTAATTTAAAAACAAATCATGCCGCTTTCCAATTAAAATCCAAGCCAAAAGATTGTACAACAACATCGGCAAATCTCTTCCGTGCTGAGTTCAATAACATTAACATAATTAAATGAGCTATGGTAATTTGAACACGTTGGCATCATCCATCTTTTCATTGGTTAATTAGCATCCATTAATTAGAACACCGTCCTAGGTCAAAACATGGCAGGATCAAGTGTTTAAAATGCGACTGCAATTATTCACTTATGATGAAATGAGTTGAAATTTATTTGCATTTCATAACAATTCAACAAATTTATTTTTTTCACATTATTATAATCATTACTAGGTAATAATCAACAATTGTGAAACGCATCATTACCAGATTGCGCTACCACGATCATTTGCTACTAAGCAATGCTGGTGTGTTTGTTTTTAATTGAGACTTCTTTAAGAAAAGAAATGACGGACACATGGCCGAAGCAACCCTGTGGACCAGCGACGAAAAGCTCTGTACTAAGCTTTCCATCACAGAAATTCGTAATCGATGTGCTGACCGATGGATATTTATCTAGGGTTCTCCCCAGGGCTTTTTAGCGCCGAGGTCCGCGGCGCTATACTTGTGAATCTTGGCGCTTTACTTGGGACCTCGACGCTATGTGTTCCAACTTGGCGCTTGATTTCATATTTAACATGCCAATATCAGATGTGCAAAAGCTTTGTTCGTCACGCTGGTCAGCCCCGACTGTCACTCAAAATTAGTGACCACAACGAAAATGCTTCCGACCAGGACTATTGTACGATTGTTATTATAATTACGTACCGACCGACACGCATCCTGCCAGTCGTGGATTATAATTTGTAAACAATAGACCTGGTCGCACGATACGTAGCTGCTAGTCAAATTTGTGAAATTAGCACCTCTTTGTAAGTAAATACTTTATTCGATAGACACAGTCTTTAGATTGAAAGCTAAATTTCTTTTAAAATCAATTCCACCTTGATATAACATGGTCAAAGCAGAGTTCACGATCAGTTTACGCTACTCAAGAAAAAAACAATGTGTTTATTGCGTGATTTGGTAAAATACATTTGAACTGTTATCATCACGAATCATGTAAAAACTCTACTTTCAAGACCTATTTTACAAATTGCTAATCACCTCTTTCGAAAACCATCATGCACTTTTCAATTGAAATCCATACCAACACATCGTGCTACGACATCGATTAACTTCCGCAATGTAATTTTTATGATCACTACCATTCAGAAAACTTTGGATTCTATCGGCATTACCATGCGGCATTTTGATTGGTCAATGGCATTCTTGACCCATCGGGTCAAAG